ATAACAATCTAATGCTTGAACATGAAAGTCGAATTATCTTCCTAATTGATTTGTTTATAAGTTACATAGAAATTATAGGGACTAATTCTACTTCTTGAAATCTAAATCTTCGGGTACATTGCGTATTAAGTTTTTGACCCGAAAAACAATCCGAGTGAGACCGGGAGAAATCCGAGGAACCTAAACCAAGTGGTCATCTAGAAATTATCCTTGGAAAAATATATTTCGTCCCCAAACCATCTTAAAACGTCGCATAATACACCACAAGCTTCCAATGCCTTGTTTAGAACCCTTGACTGCTAAGATAAGGACCCCTGAACAAACCTTTATACATAAATAGGTATATCACTACTACTCTAAATATATTCCCCTAAACTTCTATTATATATATATATATATATATATATATATATATATATATATATATATATATATATATATATATATATATATATATATGAACTTGTGAGCCTATAGAACATCCTCCATTTTTCATACGTATTCATATAAATTGTTACAGTCATATTATATACATACCCCTAACCCCAAACCATACACATGTACCCTAGCTATGATAATCTTATATGCATCTATGAGTTTGCACTTAGCATATCCTAACCCTGAAATATCATTCCGTACAAATTACATCACTCTTACATATATACATACACATATCATGAGATAGCCCTAATTCTGCTTTCCCCTTCGCATGACCTCCCTGTTACCACTCCTACCTTCCCTAAATAATTAAAAACTTTAGCCTCACCATCAGGTCATCAATTAATTTAGGAATTAGCAATCAAGGGTCTTCAATTCTAAGTTGTTTAGGTATTCAAGGCTTCTAGAGGTACGAGTTATGCCTACCTAAAATCTATTTACCACCGAGATAAACCTAATTTTCCTACGTGCTTGTGTGATCAAATTCGGTCAAGATTTCTCAAGATGAACCTTTTAGTACTTGTGAACCTAGACTATCTTACTCGTAATTATTAAAGAATATTTGTATGCAAATTGCATGGTCCAATTATTAGTGGAAACTTATATTTTCATAGGTATTGCATGTCAAATCACATAGCTCGCATGTTTATGTTAAAACACATACTTACACGCATTCATGTATATATACAAAGCATGTTAGACAAAACTGTATGTTCTAAGGCATCCCAGTGTGCATATATACAATATTGTTAATTACAAGCGATCTGCATATAAGTGCCAATACTTGTTATGTAATCACCCACCATTATCCATGGTACGCAAAATAAAGACCTCAATTCTATTAATTTATTTACCCCATAAGGAGCAAGAACCTTCCTCCTAATTACCTACAATCCTTTCTTCAAAATCTGATTTTCGCTATTTGAATAATTGTTATATGATTTATGACCTTCCTGAATTTATGTGACAAATGTTTGGTTATACCACGATATTGAGTACGTGAATTTAATTGTTAATCATGCACTAGTTTAACATGTTGAATAATACACATATGTGCTTTATAATAGATATATGGCTATCCGAATCTGCACCCGCGTAGTATTTGCCTCTTATTTAGGTACATAAATAATTATATGTTCGGTGCAACTTGTGATCCTATGTGTTAAATCATCATAAACCAATCAAGCAATGAACATACCGTGTGTATGACTTCTATGTTATGTTATCATGCATCCATAAAATTTACATAATGTGAGTTGCATATTCATAACCTTATTATTTGGTGCATTTTGCCAGCACAATAGTTAGGCTTAAACCCAGTAAATTTATATGTGCATATGTATATATTTCCCATATAATATTTTCCTTATGTGCTACTATACTAATTCGGGCTCTTTACCCAAAAATGATATCTAAGCTTCGGGGACGAAGCTTCATGTAGGGGGGGGGGGGGGGGAGAGTGTAACACCCCGTGTTACGGCCTTCAATCCCGAATTAATAATTTAATTAATTCCGTTAATAATAATTAAAAAGAATTTAATTTGATTAGGATTCCCTTTAATTAATTAATATGGTCCACCATGGATTGTGGACCCTTGCCTAAACTAGAGTTTTAAGCCTATTAAGAATAAAGAGGGTAAACCTTTTACTAGTCAGATTCTAATTAGGAATCCTAGACCTATATATCTTTTAAGAATAAAGAAAGTAGGCCTTTATTATTCAGATTATGATTAGGATTCTTGATTCTATAAATAGGGGATTAGAAAGCAATTAGAACCCTTACCATCCATAGTTATATTACAAGAAAATATTCCCGGGAGATTCTCCACCACCGAACCTAGGGAGATCAAGCGGATGGAAATCTTAGAGAAGAACCTTAATAGCCAAGGGAGGATTAATTAAGGCTAAGAGGTAACCCATGTCTCAACAAAACCTATTTTCTTTGCTATAATCTTCTTCTTTGGCTCCTTCTATATGCTTGTGTCTTGATGAAATCTTCTATGGTAATTATGATATGATCTTGATAATTGATGAGATGATTTTATGTGCGATCTTGAAGATCTTGGTGATGATAAATGGATCTTGATGATTGTGTGATATTCTTGATAAATCTTGATGTTTCTTGATATTAAAAGATGAACTATGATCTTGATGGTTTGAACGGGATTAGAGCCCTAGGTAAAATTGGGAATTTTATATTGTGATGTTCTTGGTGTATATTTGGGTGGGAATTCGCATGTTCGGGTGTTGATTATGTTTAGAAGTCATGATAGGATGTGTTCTATGTGATTCTTGCTTTTGATCCGTTAATTGTCTACGTGGTGTCGTCGTTTGCGTTTAAAAGTGTCTAAGCATGGTTTCGGGTTCCACGGAGAATCCCGGGACTTATATTTTGAAAAGGAGTCAGTGGGGGGCAGGTGGGGGTAGGGGGACCCGCCACCTACCCGCTGCCCGAAGTAACGCCGCCGACAGCAGGCAGCTGGCGGGCAGATGACTGCCCGCCGGGCACCCGTTGCCCGGAGGTTCATCGCCGGCGGGTGGCCCTCCACCCGCCGGCCACCCGCTGGATTTTTTCCACCTTGGGACTTTGGCTTCCCCGTTTGATGTTCCCCAACCCCCGTGGTGTCCCAACGGACTCCGTTTGTCGTGCATGAGTGTAGTTTGATGTTTCGGGTACCATTCGTAGGATAAAAGAGTCTCGTGTATTGCATGCTAGTTGAATCGGTAACCCGTTGGCCTAGGAAGAAGATGTATGAACCCCTTAGGACTATTCTTAGTATGTGGATAACTACGCATAAGTTTTATTTATACGTTTTCCCCCTCCCTATGTGTTAATGTGGGTTGCGTGTGCTTGCTACTTGATATATGTGCATGACTCTTGGCTGCGGTCAAACTGGTTACTCATGAGCTGCGGTTCATTATCCTGGTTGCGGTCAATGACTCACTTCTAGGGCTGCGGTGCACCTCATGGGCCTCGTGTGCTGTGGTCCACCGACTGGACGCGTCAGGCGGTGTGTAGGGCTACTAGCCACGAGGAAGGCCATAGTCCACCGAATGAGTTCGTCAGGCGGTGTGTAGGGCTATGGTCGGCTGCGATCCACCGAGTGTATGTGCCAGCGGTGTGTAGGGTCGTAGTCCCCAAAGATCATAGTCCACCGAATGAATCCCTCAGGCGGTGTGTAGGGCTGTGATCTGCTACGACCCACCGACTGAGCTCGTCAAGCGATGCGTAGGGTCGCAGTCCTCAAAAGAGGATCACAGTCCACCGATTGAACGCATCAGCTGTGTGTAGGGCTGTGATCCGCCGTTGAAACTATCGACGGTCTATACAATTGGCTGCGGTCAATTCCTTCATGCTGCGGTATGTGGTAGGATGCTGCGGGGCCGTGTTAGCGCTAGGCGCTAACCCTCATGTTTGGGGCATGTGATTGGTCCCGTGGCACCACTAAAGTGTGCTCGTGTGACAAGGATATATATTGATTGAATGGTGATGTGAATGATATGAAAGTGAACTGTGACCTTAGATATGTGTATTTATGATGTTGCCTCTATATGATTGATTATAATTGTTGAATGTGCTTATTCCTATCTGTCGAGTCTAATCCTGGTTTTAAAGCTAGAGTCTCCTAAGTATATATCTTCCTGCTTCAAAATGGTTTTCCTATATCTATGTATATATATTTACCTATATTGTATTTTAACGCGTTAGAGTGGGTTACCAGCATTATTCGCTGAACATATATATTTGGCTTTCAGGCACAGATGAGTAGACTCCGGAGCGCGCTAGAGATCCGAAGCGTAGATAGTTAGTTTTCCTTTCGGCCTGCGTGCCATGACGATGTATTGACATTGCTTTGAGGATATTTAGTTAGTGTAGCCTGTGCATATGAGTTCTCCAGCTCAGATGTGGCATAACACCTCGAACACTTATGTTTAGTAATGCTCTATTTTGGGATTTAATAAGAAATTGCCTTTATTATATAAGTTTTAAAAGTTTTGAAAATTTGGGGTGTTACATATGAAATCATACTTTTATGCAAGTACTAATAGTATAAGTGCTTGTAATCTACTGTAAAACTGTTCTAGTTACCTAGTTGTAGATGGAATCTACCCAGTTTTAATTGTAAGTGCAGGTAGTTGATATACTGGTGCACCTAACATTTAATGTCAGATCAATGCAATCACTTTTTGTTATAAATGCATGTAATTGTTTATATTAATGCAATTAGATCTGCTACATTTCCCATATATGCTAAAACTAACTCTTTGCAACCATTTTTCATTGTAAATGCATTTAATTGTTTATATTATCGCAATTAGATTTGTAATAAAATTGCATGTAATCTTCACAAGTAATAGTGCTTGCAGATTTGCCTAAAACTGCATGTAATCTTCTATATTAGTGCAACAATTTTACACAACATGCTAACACGAATTATCAGCACTGGATCATTCCATTTAAGTTAAGAACTACTTCCATATCTACTAAACCAACATTATAAAGAACCCCTCATAGTCATATTTTGACAAAAAAAATGTAAATACAATTGTATCTAGAGTATCTATAAACTGCACACTTTATCCTTCATTTTCCTCAACAGACAATTCCTACTATCATGAATAGTTTTGTTGCAAGTCTTGGAACTCCTCTCCTTACTTTGTTCAATAGCAATCTCCTTGCATCCTTTAATGCGCCAACCACTACCATTGTTCTTTGCTTTGTTTGGTGGAAGAATAGAAACTTCAGAAGGAACTGAAGAACCACATATTGACTCAATGATTGACCTCTTATCAACAGCAGAAGAACAACCACCCTTATAAGCTAAAAGCATATCTTTATGGTCCTTAATGATCTGGGAAAACACTTGCAAACAATCCATGTCAGACTGAACCATACTAATACAACATTGAATATCTAACCAAACATTTTTCAATAGCACTAACTTCTCATCAACACCTCCACATTGATCAACAACAACATCAATATCAAAAGTCCGACCCATTGATGCACTCTTGGTCCACCGGTTAACTACATAGACCAATGGAATTGAATCCAAGTTCAAATCTTTGAAAACTACAAAAATATGCCTACACAGCAATCCTACCCTTTCAAACATTTTACATCCACATGAAGCTTTGACTTCAGCAACATTATGCACCACACTAAAAACTCGATCATTTCTATCTTTAATATCATAATACAAAAACCCTTGGTCATCCCGAACATTTAGAACTCGACAACTAAAACATGCTACACAAATCTCAGCTTACACCAAATAAAAAACTGTAAGAGTATACACATATGCAGTATGTTTCTCCATGGACAACGGTGTCTTCAAATCTGGAAAACATGCCTCCGAGTCACTGTTGAGTTTATTAATAGAAAAGCGTTGACTGTCAATAGCACGATCAAAATGCATAAAAAATTCAACCAAATTGGACTGAGGAGTAGTAAAAGAACCAAAAAAGCTATTCTCACTCTCCGAACGGGAAGTAGTCCTAATTAAACCATTCGTACTAACATCACTAAAATATGCGGCGATCTAAAGATGACGAATATCATACGTTTTGACAATCCAACTATGCTCCAACAACCCAAATTCCTCCTTGACAAGATTCCACTGATGATCAAGTTCAGTTGGTCCCAAATAATGACTCCATACAACACAATTCAACTTTGACCTAAGAGTCTCATTTTTAATCAATGAAGTGTCAACCTTATCTCCTACCTTAGACATAATGTGCCACATGCAAAACCTATGCTTAGCTTCCTTGAACACACGTGGGAATGCAACCCTCATTGCTGGGTCTTGATCAGTAACAAGCAATCCTGGCTCACTACCCATCGCTTCCTTGAATTTCTCAAACAACCACACATATGACTCAATATCCTCTTTTGTCAACAACCCAGCCCCAAAAGTAATAGACTTTTTATGATTATTAACACTAGTGAATGGTGTAAATACCATATCATACCTGGAAAAAAAATGTAAAGTTTGTCAGAGAGTACATGCACATTTAGTGTAAACTAGTTGCACCTATAATGATATATACTTGCACTATAACGAAAAACATGACCAATAACACAACAGAATATAAAACTTATGCCCTAGAATACTAAAACTAACCTGTTTGTCTGATATGTAGCATCAAATGACACAACATCACCAAAAATGGTAAAATTCTTCCTAGAAACAGCATCAGTCCAAAAAAATCTGGATAAGTGATCATACTCATCAACATCAAATGCAAAAAACATCGCTGGACATACTTTTTTTTTCTTTTAAGAAATTAGTCACAATCATTTGAGCATCAACCCAAGCAGAAAATGAATCTATATCCCTTTTAATTTAATATTCCGAAATTCCAAACTTGTTGCACCAACATTTGATAACCCACCAAACAATCGAAAACTCTGCATTGGCCCAATGTTCACTTTTCCACAATCAGAAACGAACTTCATATGACCAGGACCAACCTTTCTATTCAACTTCAGAAACTGTCTTGACAATACTGATGTTAGTGAATTCTTTATTACGCTCTTCAAACTTGTGAATAACATAAGTGCCATCACCTCCATATCTAAAAATAGCACAAGCCCCACACCCAACCTTATTTGAAAATCTCCTCCTCTTTTTAACCGAAGACTCCGCAGCACCATCCAATTCTTCTACTGAAGATTTATCCCAACAAACAACATGCTTATGACCCTCCCGATTACAAAGAAAATACCTCCAAACAATACTCCCATTATCAGATTTTGACAGGTGACCTAGTCGAACATCAAACCCAACAATCGATGCATATTTAGTATAAAATGCAACCCCAGTATCCAAATTAGGAAAAACCTTCCCAACAAAAGGTTTAACTGAATCTTCACACAAAGGGACGTAATATTTTGTCAAACCAGAAGAAGTATCCAAACGATACGAATCCACTTCACCTGTGTGAACAAATGTACAACTACTAGTAATCTACCATAAACTATATATAATTAAAAATTATTGCAAGTACATAAACCGCAGTGTGCAAGTAAATAATATATACGATGCAAGTAAATAACAAAAAAATGTCTGGAATACTGATGGAACGAAATTGTGTGTGCAATTATTCTAATATTAGCTAAATGCAAATTGAAACTTCAATGCAAATACCTACAGAAACACGATGAATGAATTACAAATTCAACTAAAACGTGTAAGCCAGATAACAACAATTCATCTTAAAACAATGAATATAAACACACCAATATTGCAAGTACATAAACCATAGTGTGCAAGTAAATAATATATACGATGCAAGTAAATAACAAAAAATTGCATGCATTACAGATGGAACGACAATTGTGTGTGTAATTATTCTAACATTAGCTAAATACAAATTGAACTTCAATGCAATTATCTACAGAAACACGATGAATGAATTACAAATTCAACTAAAACGTGTAAGCCAGATAACAACAATTCATCTTAAATAATGAATATAAACACACCAATACCTGGCTCCATTGAGATCGTACGACAAGCAGATGATGAATACCTCCGCAGAAGAAGAACTGTACCGCCTACGCGATCACTAGATCGAGCTGTTGATTTCGAATAAGGAAGAAGAAGACTAATAAACCGGGATGCATTACATATTTGGAAATAAAATGTCTAAAAAGACAAGAATGTCATTACAAGCGGCAAAATGCGAGAAAGTTATTACAAATGAGCTTCGTTGGATGAACGACGATCAACAGACATAATCCATTCCTATTTCGCGCCTGGGCGAATCATTCGCGCCTGACGCCGACCTTGCAAGGGGTAGACTATCTAACGGAACACCTTGTTGTATATGGAAATTGTCTGATGGTTGGTATGACTATAATGTGATTTTGAATTACTACAAGAAAAGTCATTCATCTCTTCTGAAAGTATATGACATAAGTAGGCCAAATACATAGAATAATTGTGTTGTAGTTTCGGAAGCAATTAACAGGATGAAGAATTGGATGTCTTTAAATCCTTTCATTAGAGATGAAGACTTATATCCTTTAAGGTTTATTTATATTATTATATGTTTTATTATTATTTTATTTATTTTAAGATAAATATTTATATTTAGTTTTTTTTTTCACATTTGATATTTTGCAGATTGCTTTTAGAGAGTATTATTGCTGTACATGTTTTATGTGATGACTTTGAGTTGACGTCATAAGATGTGTGTGTGATCCGAAATGAAAATGAAAATACTGTGCAATTCAAAGTTTAATTTATAAGGCCAAGCCAAAGAGAGTCAAAATTATTATTTTTCTAGAACAATTGTGCGTGGTTAGATTAATCGCCCTGATGATTTTCCGTGTAAGTAAATATAGGCACATATACAGTTATACATGCATTGTATATGTGATAATAAGGACTAACCTCCAGCCATAGTTGTTTGCTAGATTTGCCTTGATGTTGATGTAGAATGCCTTAGTTGTTTTCTGCCGTGATTTGGGCAGAGTGTCTCCTACTAGTCTCAAGTATTAGTAAGACGGTGTATATTTTGTCAGAATGACAGTGCTTGAGTATTGGGAGGACCTTACTTATATAACCTATTTTAACCATCAATATAGGCTTTGTAATAGTTGTAACAGTAACCGTTACAACTGTTACCATTAGCATTCCTTAATGGCCATTAAGGCCATAATAAATCTTGCACCACCACATGAAAATGTTACATTCTCCCACTTGGTGCAAGAACAAACCTTAAAGTAACAAAATACACGAACTATAGAGATATGTCCTCTTAATACGAGTAGTATCTACTATAATCACAGTGCAACTTGTTCTCTAAGTACTTTTATGTGCTTAACCAAAACTTAATGGATAAACCTTATGTTTATTCCAGGTCCATAAGATATATATTTTCTCAACAATATGTGCACAATATAATAATGAGAAAATATCTGAATACTTTAAGAATTTCATAAAATAATTGTATGTATACAAATTTTACAAAGTGGGCGCAAGTCCCATTTTCTCAACAAAATCCCTAAACTTGAATGGTGGCATGCCTTTAGTTAAGGGATCAACAATCATCAACTCAGTGCTTATATGCTCAATGACCACTTTCTTATCTTTAACACGCTCCCTGATGGCTAAGTACTTGGTGTCGATATGGTTACTTCGACTCCCACTCTTATTGTTCTTAGCCAGGAAGACCGCAGCTGAGTTGTCACAATAAACCTTTAATGGCTTAGAAATAGAGTCCATAACTCTAAGCCCTGAAATGAAATTCTTAAGCCATACACCTTGAGATGTAGCCTCAAAACATGGGCTTCCATGGTTGAAGTGGTGACAAGAGTTTGTTTAACACTTCTCCATGAAACAGCTTCACTGGCCATGATAAAAATGTTCCCGAAGTTGATTTTCGAGAATCAACACAACCGGCAAAGTCCGAATCAGAATATCCAACAATGTCCAAAACGTCCATCTGTTTGAACACAAGCTTATACTCCTTGGTACCCTTGAGATACCTTAAAACCTTCTTTGTAGCTCTCCAGTGGTCTAAACCCAGATCACTTTGATATCGTCCCAGCATTCCAACAGCAAAGGCGATGTCCGGCCTAGTACAGACTTGAACATACCTGAGACATCCGACAACTGAAGCATAAGGAATATTCTTCATGGATTCTCTTTCAAAATCATTCTTTGGACATTGGTCCAAACTAAATTTATCTCCTCTCACTATAGGAGCTGGACTCGGTGAACAATCCTTCATCCGAAATCTTTCTAAGACTTTGTTGATATAGGTTTCCTGCGATAGTCCGAGAATACCCCGGGATCTATCCCTATGGATCTTTATGCCAATGACATAAGATGCCTCACCCATATCTTTCATATCAAAGTTCTTAGAAAGGAATTGTTTAACCTCGTGCAACATTCCCTTATCATTTGTTGCAAGTAGAATATCATCCACATATAAAACAAGAAAACAAATTTTACTCTCACTTGTCTTTTGGTATATGCAATGATCTAAGGGACTTTCAACAAATCCATATGAAGAAATGACCACATCAAACTTGATATACCATTGGCGGGAAGCTTGTTTTAAACCATAGATGGACTTTTTTTTAGCTTGCAAACCAAATGCTCACCTTCACTAGAAGAGAAGCCTTCAGGTTGTTTCATATAAACCACATCTTCTAGATCACCATTAACGAATGCCGTTTTCACATCCATTTGTTGCAATTCAAGATTGAAATGTGCAACCAAAGCCAGAATTATACGAAGTGAATCTTTCTTTGACACAGGAGAAAATGTCTCCGTGTAGTCGATTCCTTCCTTTTGAGTAAATCCTTTAGCAACGAGCCTAGCCTTGTATTGCTCGATGTTGCCTAATGAGTCCTTTTTAGTCTTATAGACCCATTTACAGCCAATGGCCTTGGCCCCATTAGGCAACTCAACAAGGTCCCAAACCCTATTGCTTCGCATGGAACTCATTTCTTCCTTCATGGCTTCATACCATAAATCTGATTCTTTACAGTTCATGGCTTGTGAAAACGTTTCTGGATCATTTTCGGCTCCAACATCAGACTCTTGCTGATACACTATATAATCACTAGGAATTGCCAGTTTTTTTCCACGAGTAGATCGCCTTAAAGTTGAACTACCATCTTTTTGAGAAGTTAGCGGTTCAACTACCGCTTCAGGAATTTCCTGAATTGGTTGATCTATTGAAATAATATCAACATTTTGTGGAACTTCTTCAATAGGTCATTCAATACACGTTTGAACTTGAGGGTTGTTTGAAACTATTATCAACCTATCTGATGACGTATAAGGACATGATTCATTATGATCATGGTTAGAAATCAAATCATTGAACCGATCCCTCCCACTAATCATGTCATCTTCAAGAAACTTAGCATTTCTTGATTCCACCATCCTAGTTGAATTAGATGGACAATAAAATCTGTATCCCTTGGAGGACTGTGCGTTTCCAATAAAGAAACGACTAATAGTCCTCGGGTCCAACTTCTTTTCTTGTGGGTTATATATCCTCACCTCAAACGGGCATCCCCAAACACGCATATGTTACAAACTCGGTTTCTAACCCTTAAATAACTCAAGCGGCGTCTTTGGGACAGCCTTGGTTGGAACACGGTTTAATATATACGTAGTCGTCTTAAGTGCCTCGGCCCACAAAAACTTAGGAAGTTTTGAGTTGCTAAGCATACTCCGCACCATATCAATAAGCGTGCGATTTCTTCTTTCAGCAACACCATTTTGG